TTCATTCAACGCAAATGTTCTCTACTGCCCCTTGCTCTCCTTACTCTCCACCATGGCGTCACGAAGACGCTCGTGTACAATACGCTAGAAGGGCCTTTACCTTTATTCTACGGTGAATGTCTCGGTCACGTGCGTCCGATCGACGCCCGTCGCATTTTTGACGCTCCATCTAGTTTACTTTCTACGAAACTCAGCGCACTCATTTCTGACTCTGTTGTTGACCAGTCACTCCTTGACGCTTTCCACCGCTCCATCGATGTCGCAACGTCTTCTTCAGAACGAAGCCAGTTAGTGAACCTGCTGCAAAAGTTTCGTACTTCTTTTGACAGCCACGCTTCTGGCCTCAGTCACACATCGAACATATCTCACAAGATTGACACAGGAAGCCATATGCCTCTACGGCAGCGCCCCTACCGAGTCTCAGCGTCGGAGCGCCGTGTTATTGACGACCAGGTTGCTGACATGCTCCAGCGGGGTATTGTACAGCCTTCTAACAGTTCCTGGGCGTCACCGGTCGTTCTTGTTAAGAAGAAGAACGGCTCCATTCGGTTCTGTGTGGACTATCGACGTTTAAACAAGATCACCCGCAAGGACGTTTACCCGTTACCGCGAATAGATGACGCCCTTGACTGTTTGCAGGGAGCAGAATACTTCTCTTTGCTGGATTTACGGTCTGGATACTGGCAAGTTCCTATAGAAGCATCTGACCGTCCGAAAACAGCATTTGTCACACCTGATGGATTATACGAGTTTACCGTTATGCCTTTCGGCCTTTGTAACGCTCCAGCCACTTTTGAAAGAATGATGGACACTATTTTACGAGGCCTCAAGTGGAACAGAAGTTTATGCTACCTCGATGACGTGGTTGTCTTTTCCACCGATTTCGACACCCATTTAAATCGTCTCGAGCACGTCCTCACACGTCTCACCGACGCCGGCCTTCAACTCAACCTCAAGAAGTGTCGTTTTGGTGCCCGGCAGCTCACCATTCTTGGCCACGTCGTATCGCGGGATGGCATACTTCCCGACCACGCCAAGCTTCAAGCAGTCGCCGATTTTCCGAAGCCAAAGAACTTGAAGGAACTTGAAGTTTTGTTGGCTTGTCGTCATACTTCCGACGCTTTATTAGAAATTTTGCTTCCGTATGTGCGCCCCTTACAGACCTTCTTAGCGGCGACAAGGACCTTTCCACCTGGTCACCAGCATGCGACGATGCATTCACCAAATTACGCCACCTGCTGACTTCACCACCCGTCCTCCGCCACTACGATCCTGCCGCTCCCACGGAGGTTCATACTGATGCCAGCGGTGTTGGACTTGGCGCTGTGCTCGCGCAACAAAAGGCAGGGTTTGATGAATATGTCGTCGCCTACGCAAGCCGAACTTCGACGAAAGCCGAGGCTAACTACTCCGTGACCGAGAAAGAGTGTTTAGCTATTATTTGGGTCCTTGGAAAATTTCGCCCCTACCTGTATGGTCACGCATTCGACGTCGTCACTGACCACCACGCCCTTTGTTGGCTATCCACACTTAAAGACCCTTCCAGACGACTTGCTCGCTGGGCGCTCAAACTTCAGGAATACGACATCCGCGTTAATTACAGATCTGGTCGTAAGCACACGGACACCGACGCCCTTTCTCGCTCACCCATATCGGATGAAGGTGTTTGCCTCTCTTCCCTCGAGCCTGCACTTGCGTCATCCGCCTTGCGCAACATGACGATGGAACAACAAAAGGATCCCTGGATCAGTGGCCTCATAAGCATTCTTTCTGATCCTCTCACTCCTTCGCCGTCTCGCGCTCTTCGCCGCCAGGCTAGCAACTTTTGCCTAAGGGATGATCTTCTTTATCGACGCAACTACCTTTCTGACGGTCGCAAGTGCCTCCTTGTGATACCCCGCCATCTTCGAGCTGCTATCTGCGAAGCTTTTCACGCGGACCCACAGTGTGCCCACGCAGGCCTCTTCAAGACATACGCTAGGCTTCGACTCAGATTTTATTGGCGTGGCATGTATAACTACCTGCGGAAATTCATTCGCTCGTGTGCTCAGTGCCAACGACAAAAGTTACCTCCCGGGCAAGTCTACCCGTCACAACCTCTTCCTTGTCCTAGTCAACCTTTTGATCGCGTCGGCATTGACATTTACGGACCACTACCATCAACTCTATCTGGTAATCGCTGGATTATTGTTGCGATAGACCATCTGACACGCTATGCCGAAACAGCCGCGCTGCCGACTCCCACAGCCCGTGACGTTGGAACGTTTCTGTTGCAACGTTTCATTCTGCGTCATGGTGCCCTTCGCGAGCTCTTAAGTGACAGAGGCCGTGCCTTCCTTTCTGACGCCTTGAAGGCATTACTCAACGAATGCCGAATCATGCACCGCACAAGTACAGCGTACCACCCTCAAACGAATGGCATGACGGAGCGCTTCAACCGTACTCTTGGCAATATGCTGTCAATGTACGTCGCCTCTGATCATTCCAATTGGGACCAAGTTCTCCCGTTCATCACCTACGCGTATAATACTGCCGTACAAGCTACTACTGGGTTTTCGCCATACTTTCTTCTGTACGGACGAGAACCTTCAAATGCAGTAGACACTATTCTTCCATATAAACCTTATGAGTCCGAAAGTACAACTCTGTCCGAAGCTGCCCGACATGCTGAAGAATGCCGCCAGCTTGCCCGCTCTTTTTCTACCGAGGACAACTATATCGTGGAGCCCATCATCCCATCCACAGACCTACGCTACCGCGGCCGCGACACTGTCCACGTTTCTCGTCTCAAGCCATATTACGACCCATTAGTCGTTTCTTCTCCCTAATCCGCCAGGATGGCGTCTTTTTGTGCGGAGGGCGATTGTAGTGAAGAAGAGGAGTTTCAGCGGCATTTCTCGGCGCATCAGGGGCATCGCCATCAGCATAAGCTCGTGCTTGCTGCGCTTGGCCGGACGCTGCTGACTGCTTCGCTTGCTGCGCTCTGCCTGCAAGTAAACCCCGTTACAAGTTGATAAATTATTGCTACTACTAATTTGGAAATGTATGGCTTCACTTGTTCAGGCATTACCGACGAAGGGACAGAACTATTCAAGCTGAAACTCTGAAATGTTCAATATTGAAGCATCAAGCTTTTCTCTGGCTTTCTATAAAGAGGAACTAGTTAACTAGAAATTGGTAGGACAATAATCAATTTAGCTGAGCTAAATTGTTTAATTAACTTACAAGTAATTAGGACAGTACTAGCTGTTATTGAACGTAAGCTTTTTAATGCAATAAAGTTCACATCAATACTATGAGTGCAATAAGTTTAGTGTGTCAGCAAACAATGACCGAAATGCGGAGTAAGTGCCACCGCAGTGGGACTGCCACCTTAAATGGTTACACTAACCATTTTTTCATACAGTAAGAAAATGTAACTGATATGTACATAGCGCTGCCAGACACATGCAAGCAATACATCATTCCACTGCATGCAGCGGAGAGCAAACAACCTCTCAAGAGAGATTTCTTGCTCTTTTCTGCAGCTTTCGAGGCCGTGGCCTGCCCTTGCCATCATAACCTATGTGATATTCCATAAATGCCATCAATATTGAAAAGAGTTACTATAAGTGCACAGCAGAAAGAAAAAAAAAGGCAACGCACTGTTGTCGGTGCACCCCACCTGGAAGAAACATTGAGGAGGAATGGGGAACGTAAACATCACGACTTTTCTGTCGCCATTATTACTATGTCCACCAGAAAGCTTTGTGGGATTATACAGAGCGATTTGGTAGCAATTATCACAGAGACGAAGAAAAACACACAAAGACAAACACTCGTCCATGTATCCTTTGTTTTCATCTCTGTTAGCGATGTGCTGCCAAATCATCAAAATAGAACCATGCCAACTAGCCCAAATGTCTACACATCTAGACTATACTGAACGGAAAGGCATTGTTCTTTAATTTCACTCTCATTTGTGAAAATTAGGTGTTGCAGGGCCCCTCGAATAAGTGTTGTAAAACAATGGAGTGACTGCAACAGTGTACTCTGACAAAGCCAGAGCGAAATAGTGGGACAGAAATACACTTCTTTTCTAAATAGATGGTCTTCTTCATCCACCGTGAATGTGTTTAATCCAATTCCTTTGCCATCAAGCTCTCTGGCCTCAATTTTTTTTAGATTTGGTGTTTTCACCTCCAACAACTTGTCAGTACTTGCAGAATAAAACACATCACAAAATTGAGCATACTGACCACTGGTATTTCCAGTTGCTAGGGACCACTATATATACATAATTTCACAACGAATTCGGCCTCTGAAGGTAATATTGACTCTCCCAAGACTGTACGAGACAATATAATGCCCTTGTGACACAAACTGAAGGCAGTGGCAACGAAAGTATGCACATTATTGAACTCAAGCAGTTGTGTTATATTATAAGATCATTGTAGAGCTTTGGAGCGGCAGTAAACACGAACACGCACACATCCACAAGCACATATCCACAAGAACATATCCACATGCACACATACACACAACAGATATACTTGCTTACCCATTTCACAGAAACCACCAAAACTGTCCAAGGTGGCTCGTCGTCGTACGACATTTTATAACACCTTTATTGAACTTTCTTTTTCCCATCTGAGACTGCACTAGCAGGTTATAAACCTAATGTGCGAGAACTTCACATATAAGCTCTACTACAGTCGAATCCCTTCACAAGAGACACTGATATGAGAGACAAATGAGTGTAAGAGACACCAGTTCGCCTCCAGTAAAATACGGGGGATATGAAAATGCATACAACATCCCCTGCTTATGAGAGATATCTCGCATAAAAGACTAGAATTGCTGCCTGTAGTGTTCCTCTTATAAAGGGGTTTAACTGTACAACTATGATTGGCACAGCTATCCATCACAACCCACAATGCTCAGCTATATGGTGGTTGAATTAACACATCTTGCACCTACACAACGAAACTTGCAAGAAAGAAATGGAACTGCAAGACTTGTTCACATGCATTCATTAGGCACTTTATTAATCCACAATGTGACAAGAGCTTCCATTCAGCTCATCTCTGCTGTACATCTGGATTCTTTTACCCAAGATCAGTCACATACAAATGCTTATCAGAAGCAGACAGCTTCGCGAAAAGTTATGACACTGCGTTTCACAAAGCACCATCACAGTTTGTACCCTCAAATGGCATGCAGTACAACACATTCCCCAAATTAATGAAAACCAGTTTCAAGAATAAGCATAAAAAAAGCAATATTGTTCAAAACTCCTTCACACTGCATCTTCAGACAGAGAAGGTTATGTTAAAATATGCAAGGCACAAACCTGTAGTTGATGATTACTGCCGCAACACATTGTGGAGCTATCTGAAACATCCATCAACCACCTTTTGGTAAAAGCACACAGATATAGTTAATGACAGCATATGATTTGCTGTCCAACTTGGTGAATTTAAATAGATGTGTCAACCAATCCAACTTCCTTACCTTCACGATGTCACAGTGCAGGCAAATATATTCAGAATCAAAAGGCACAGATGCAAAGCAGTTTTGTGGGCGGAGCTTGTACTAAATTCTTTGGTTGTCACCAAATGTAGTGCTATAAGACACTGCATAAAAGTCATAGTAGTGGCACAAATTCTTTCATTTATCAGGACAGCATTTCAATACTTATTAGTCTTGACTGGCTAAAAAGCTTATAAAATTAAGTTTTCCAAAAAGACACAAAAAAATTACCATATTCAAAGCTGCCACTGGTCATCGAGAGAACTTGGAACGAGCCTGCAGTGGCCTGTTCTACAGATGCGCCATTGACATGCGTTTTCCTCACATGGCCATGCAACTTGTTAGATACAAGAGACCCATGAAATGGTGCATTTGCACCAACTGCAGCAGCCAATAATGCCGCTAGCTGTCCATCACTTTCAAGCATAAATTTTCCCTCTTTATTTCGGGCAACTGTATTTTTATGAGGAGATACACAAAATAATCTGTGTGCCAGTGTCCCTGTGCATGTTCAGAAAACTTGGGTGATGAGCGCTCAAGTATGCTGCCCATAGCCCAGGAACAGCTTTGGGGATGGATATATATATATAAACTGAGAGAGAGAAGCTGTTCACATGCTATCAATTAAAGTGCTTTGCATTTCCATAAAGGTTTTAAAAAATTAATGGTACATGCAACTATATTACCACAAACCAAAATATCACTGTCATCACTTTGAGCATGCAAAAGTAATTTTACTCATGGGTCTCTGGGTCTTTAAAAAGTGCTTATGCCATAATTTTCGCAGCTGCCAGTGCAATAAATATTTATGGCCTTAGCATGGCATGTTTTCCTTTGGCCAAAGTTCGCTAAACACTCATGAAGAACTTGAGCACAGTACAAAGCTGGATCACATCAACCTTGTTAATAAACCTTTAAGCACTCTAAAATGACAATGTTTACAATATGCACATGCTAGAAATAAAAATTTTACCATAATCAATCATTCTTTTTTTTTTAGATTACTAAAGTTGAAATGTCAAACATGAAGGCAATGATGACAGCAATCCATCCAAACTGGCCTTTATTTTCATGTAGCTATATTCAAATGTGGTGCAACACCTCTAAGTGACACCAGGCTTTTATTTTTTGATGTGCTAACTCTTTCGGGCAGTGAATACGTCGCATTAAGCTACAGTTTAAAATACAATGAAAAATTCTGAATGCTCGCATCACCGACCATCTCTGCCGCAAATGCAGAATCTTTTTTTTTGTAGTTATTTCAAGTGGAGACATTTGTGCTCAACTTGCACTGAACAAAGCATATGCAAAATTTCAACAAGATGAAATTACGAAGAAAAAGTTGGACCTAAGAACATCACTACGTACTGCCGCAAGAAAATTAACAAGGTAATGCAAGGTCATACCTTTTTTGATATTTATTTCCTTTTGTTGTGTTTGGGCATGAGTTAGCTGTACTCGACCACAGCAGAGACATTTTTTCTAGATGAAATGGTGGCCATTGCTTATGTTGAATGGCAGGTGCTCAAAAGTGACCCAACTATGATTTGTCACACTACCTTGACCTTATATCATAAGCTTTTGATACCATGCAAAGTGTTCTTATACCCTTTAACATGTGAAATTAGAATGTCGAATTCATGGTGACAAACATGTAATTGCTTCAATTTGCATCCTCTTACGGCTACACATACAAAGAAAAACAAATGTTTACACTTTATATTACTACTGGCATTTCCATTCAATGGTTCAGGTATTAATATGGATCTATGCACAATACGTTACAGCACCAAAAATATCCAGCCACAAAAACTAAGTTTATTTTTTCCTATTCACATCTAATTTTATGTTGACGGTACCACCATTTTCGAAAAGGCTTACGTCCATCGCTACAGTGGACACAACAATGGCGGCTATACAGTTATTGAGCTCACGACATTGGGCTACTCTAAAAGCATAGAGGCTCAATGGAGAAGTTGCAAAATGTAACAGCATAATGATGTGGTGGCATTGCAGCAAATTTCGATAGAGGTAACCACCGTGGACATCCCCATAGCTCGAGATGCCCCAAGTGAGCTTTCAAGGATATGAACAGCAATTATGATAAAATATATTATTGTTTACCTGAACAAACTAGAGTTTCCATCTGACAAATATGTTTAAAGGCAGCAGATATGTAAAGGAAGAAGTTGATAACCAGCATATTTGCATGTAGTTTATCTCTACACACCCATTGCATTTAGTTTGTTGCTCTTTTTTTTTTCATCGTGTACTAGTTCTCTATTTAAACACAAGAGCCAACCCATTTTCCTAGAGATAACTTGCGTTTGTGATTGATCTGCCACTGAAAGTGTGCAAGACTGCTGTGACCATAAAGAGAAGTGTGGTGGATACTAAAGAGGCCGGCTAACCATATGGATGAAAACATGCAGTTGAGACGAATGCTTGGGTGAGCTAGCTCATACCTAAGAATGAGAGAATATCAATTGGAACATGCAGAAGAGGCACAGATGCAGTGCTGTACCCGCGTGCCTTGTCTTTCTCGTATTGTGTCTTTTCTGTGCTGTTTTCTTTCCCGAGTTGAACCAGTGGTTTGAGAAGTAAGGTGTGTTGGAAAAGGGAAAATATGATTGCCACTTCACAACAGTTGGTCTCGACAGGATGGAAAAGGCTAAAAAGGGAAGTGCATCCTGTACCTCCTTGTGCTGATGCAGGGATAAAGAAAAAAAAAATCACCTAATGTATGAGCACCTGTTGATACAAGAGGTGCCCATTTCACACACAAAAAGTACCAAAGGCCTATGATGACACAGAGTTTCCTTCGAAAAGAGTGACGCTATAGCACGAATGAACTGAAAATCTCCTCATCCTTTACAATCCTTAGAATATTAGCAAGAACAAAAATGTTATGTTCATAAGCATTGTAATTAAACCGGAACAGCATTGGAATTTTATCGCTTCTAAGCAAAACCTAAATGCAAACAAAGTGGTTGCTTTCATTTCCAATTCACTCCATCCTCTGAAGCTTTTTGCTCATGAATTCGCTATGCTGGGAGGGAGGTTATGTGCTGAATGCATGCATCAATGACTGAAGCTTGTGACAATAAATTTCCCTGACAATTAAAGCCTAACGTGGCTGAGATAAAGATTGACTTCTGTCAGGCAGTTGCCCGTGTAACATTCTTTGAACATGGTCAGAAAATGCAGCTGATCATTACTTGAGATCACTGTGGACGCGCAACCCAAATATTGTAGCACTGCACGTGGCAGAAAATTTACATTTGCAATTCGAAGAAAGCTAATAATTCTCGCTGATCTCCCAGCAAATTGCATCATTGATGGGCACGGCTATGTCAACGGATGGAAGGGTATGGCGACTGACCGATTTGATGATCATCCCAAGCTCAAGGTCATGAAGCATCCACGTAGTTTCTTGCCCCTTTATGACCCCCCCCCCCCCCCCCCTCCTTCTGGGTAGCCTCCTGGCTGTTTGTTGGGACCTAAAGTGAGTGATGAATCCCATCAGTTCCGCTCGTACTTACCAAATTAAATTTTTTTCTTTTGAAATCAAATCGTGAGGCCTAAGCTCCGACAATGAAGTCGTGCGATGATTACATGAAAAAGAGTAGCAAGGTACATTTAAGCAAACCACACACAATTACTTTCTAAACAGGCATGAGTCATGTTTACCTTACAGTTCAGAAGTTCACTTGAATTCACATCATGCACCAGCAACTTTCACAAGAGCACTGTGAATATAAGTTTTGGCTCGCTGGGATTGTATATTGGCTGACGCAGAAATAATGCAGATTGTTACATAATTTAAAGGTTTTGGTTCACCACTTAGACAATTATTTTCAGTAAACATGGTGCATCACGCATCATAAAAAATAAGAGACAAACACTGCAATTTCTTAAAGCAGAGATATTCACCCTTTTCAGTGCACAGAAAACAAGAATTAAAAAAAAAATTTTTTTTAATGGCAATTCTTCTGTTCTACAAACGAATCGGCACTGGTTCAAACCGTCTTTTTCCAACTCTGAAGATGAAGCTGGACCTAACCATTTGCAAAACCAAAATAGAAACAAAAAAAGTTTCTTGAATCAATATCCTGGATGCTGTGTGTTCTGTAGTGCCCAGCCTAGCAGGCCACCCACATGGAACGAATTAAGATTCTTGAGAACTTTCTGTAGCAAGCACCAAGGTACTGACACGACAGCATGCCTTCAATGCACCACGCACACTTGCAACAAGAACAGGTGTCGACCACTGCCATGATTTCAGTATTTTTGTGACCAGAAGTAGGATGCAGTCAAACCCAAATGAGGTCGCGAATGCCAAAGACGACGGCTAGACACCGACTCGAATCAAGACCGGTTCAATTGTTAGCAATTGTTAGCTCCATTTAGGCTGCTGGCCTTCAAGTGGTGGGCTGCCACTTTTCTACTGGGAAAATTGCTGCCTGTGGGAGGGCCTTTAAAGGGTTCCTCACCAGGTTTGGGTATTCCAAACAAACAAGCACAGTGCACAGATCTCCCGATAGTGATTGTGCCTGTGAAGTATAGTAGAACTATCTGATAGCTGAAACTTCGAACACAAAACTGCATTCCAAGAATAAAAGTCCCACACACAAATGCTGTTTGCAACACTAACGACTTGTAAGATCGCTGATCATGACACGCGCCTTTTGGTTAATCCTTCAACGTGAAAAGTGAAATGCTTCTAGTAATCATGTGCTAAAAAACAAAAAGAAAAAAAGTAAAAAGAAGGAAGTGTGGCTAATCACACTAAAGTGACACAGACCTTCCATTCAGGTACTTGCGAAAATGCAGAGAACGAACACTGCTTGCATACCCTAACCAAGGCAGACAGGGAGGATTTCTGTGGAGTGGTGTTTCATTTCCTAGTGGCATGGTAATAAGACCGCTCAATGACAAACCAATCTGAAAAATTCTGTCAATAAAATGCTCTTTAGGGGGTACATAATGACTTGATTTGTTTGCAACATTAACCAACAAAATACAAATGAGATTCTGCATTTCCAAAGTTGACTGAGCACAATGAAAAAGACAAAGCCATAATATTCTCTTGTGTAGCACCTGGCATGTTGGCTAAACGTGCTTCAATATAACAGTGCCTTATTGAGCTGCGAATAACAAACAATCTAGTTATAGTATTAACTAACCATTTGGTTGGCACCACTTATTATTTCAAGAAGTAATGACAACATGGAGAGAGAATAAGTAAAAATATATAGAAAAGAAAAAAGAACTCTAAATCCTTTATATCACATGTGAAGGGGGATCTGCAGACAGGGGGAGTCTACTGAACCAATTTAATACTGCACAACACAAAATACTGTACAATCACACCAAAATAACATGGGTAAATATGTGGTCACCTTTATCCATATATAGCTCTGCTTTTTTACATTGTCTGTAACCTCTTCAGTGCTACAGCCCAAAACAAGTAGAAACATTTCTCAAGGTCTTAGAATCTCTTGATTTACACATCTGCATGTTAGTTCACAACAGCAGAAGCATCTTTTACTATTAAAAAAGTGCTATTTTAGTCACTTTGTGCACGAAGAATGAATGAAGCAATTCTCAAATTTTAGCCATATTCATCAGCAGCTGTGGTTCAAGACATTAGACGGCAACACAAATTTTGTACACTGATACTTCAGTAAGCATGCAACCACGCAGATTACAATATTTTGTTTGTTTGCACTATTTCAATACTTCAAAAACTCCACACATAGTACGACTGGTTCACAAATAAAACAATATGACATTGGTATTGCACTTGTGTAAAATTATTCCAGCATGTCATGAAGTCTCTATGAAACGCCAATGACAATTTTATGTCCTAAGCACAAATAAAAACGAGAGCCCATGCACCCCTGAGCAGTCAAAACACACATTGTAAACATGTCATGCAATGCTTCCCGGCAACAATGTAACACTGCATTCATTTTTACAACAGGCTAAAAGAAGTCTGTCATGTTCGCACTAAAGGTGCACACTTCTACTGCTTATGGAATCATATCCAGACTGACACCAAAAATACAAACCCATTATTCATATCTGCTCAAAAGCCAAAGGTATCAGTTTTATATGTATCCCATTAATAAAAAATGTTAAAATGGCCATTGCCTGACTGGTTATATGCTGCAGCATAACATGCGTTGAGAAACTTAGCGCCAATACTTGTGCACTAAGCTCTGTTGTGTTAAACAATATAGGAAGAAAGTAATCTGCAAGACTCTTTCTCGTTTTCAGCATGTACAATGAATTCAGATATTGGGCACGATAAAATATTTTAAAAATTCCAATGAGGATTATTTGCACAGTTCATGCATTTCTAGTAGATTCTTGGCTTGTACGAGAGGATCATCGAGCATCTCCACCGCCTCCAATTTCAGATGTCATGGGGCAACTTGCTGCTTCCTGATTGCTAGCCACTTCCTTGGAACCATCAGCCCTTTGAGAAGAAAGAAGAGAACACACTTTATACACGCAAAGCATTTACAAAGCACTGCGATTATTGTGGTATGACTTGTTAAAGGCGAACTCTGGCAATTTTACGAGGTCAATGAATCTCAATGAAATTCACTAGGTATGTTCCTTTGCACATTTCCATCATTTACGCCAAATTACAGGCTTGACAGTTGCGTTGATTGTTTGCAAATGAATTTTAAATATTGCCTCGATATGCTAGCTTGGCTTGCCAGAATTATTAGCAACACTGTCATGGTTAAGTCATGTTTGGCAAGTGAATGGATGTGATGCAGCCGATGGCATTGCTAACTACGGCTGCTACAGTGATTTGCTGCGCTGACCGCAATGCGACGGCGGCGGTGTTTGGCACAGGAAAGCTTCCTTCCTTCTTCCGTCATGTTTGGCCGGTGCTTTGCTGGTTTGGCGTGCAATTTTCTGTTCCCTGTGGATGGGGGTGCGATGGGTCGTAGTTGGTGTTGTGTTAAGGGGTGCACAAATCACTCGCACAAGACGCAAAGAGTTCACTATACAGGCTTTCAGTGCTTTCAGTGAGAAGTGGATATTAGGAGGGACAACTGGTTACCGAGCGAAATGGCTGTAGTGTTATTAATCTCAGGAGTGCTTGCAAAGAATGGAATTGAGAGAGAAATGCGAGGTGAAAGTGTGTCATGACAAACACACTTTATCACCCAAAACGTACAGAACAATACACTCGATAGCTCAATAATACTGAACAATAATAAATATGTTACTAACAACCAATAACTCAAAAACCCTCAACGATCCCCGTACATGGGCAAACCCAAGCTGACTGTAGCTCAGTCCCAATCCATTGATAGCCCTGGCCGCTAGCCCTAAGCTAATATGGCGTAAAAAATGACGTGTTCTTACGGCTCGCCGCGTTGCGACTCGCTGTCCCTTGCTGTGTCGACGTTTTGTCGAGTGCTCCGTCGTTGATGGGCTGCTCTACTTTATATGGTCGCTGTCGGTTGCTCCCGCCGCACGAACAGCTCTTTCTCATTGCCGGTGCACTGGTCCTCGTCTCAATCGTTCGGCCTTGTTAGGCCCCGCTCGCCAGGAACTCCCCCGCTGACGTGTCCACTCAGTTGACTTTACTGGTGTTCCGGTCTTATTTGTCATCTTCGGCCCACTTGGTCGAACCCGTCTCGTCCATGGCCTCATTAATGATGCACTCCGATGACTGGTGTGTGGAAGCCGCAAGACCACCAGGAGTTGCTGGGCAGGGTGTGACAAGTTTGGACAGCCTCACTCGGGACTATCTCAGAGATCGATGGAGACATCCTGGGCCACTTCACGCCAACATCCTTCAGAACCAGGCGGTTATGCTGCTCCCATCGCCGTAGCGACGCTGGTTTCCCACGTCTTCACAGCTTGGAGCCCCAATACACAGCAGAATTTTTCTTCTCGGGTCGCGTGCCACGAACCTTTCTCTAGCCGATCTACTGCATATAAGTGGCTGGTGCACATTCCCTCGTGCACCGTTGCCGTGCTTCCCCATTTGGCACGCGCCTCATGCCTCTCCTTTACTCATCACTGAGTCACTGCTGTCTGATAGCTCCCAGACACCGTTCGTTTCAGACATATCAGCTGATGCTCAGCGCGTTTACTTCTGCTCTGAGTACCTGCTTGTCGCAGCTTTCATAATTCTTCATACTTTGCGCCGGCAAGAACAGTATGCCTTGTATAACTTCCGGTTCTTACCAAACAGTTCGTCGTACGTAGACAGTGCGCTTGGTTGGGTTTCGGTATAATGCCTTTCTTTCTTATTGAAAAATATTTTCAAATTTGCTGAGAATTTCAGCAATAGGGAACACCAGACCAGAACACCATTACCTTGACATGGTAAAAAAATCACCAGAGTTGGCCTTTAAGAGAGACACGGCGAAAATGGTTTAAAATAAGGAGAAAAATTCTAGTTGAGGATCAGGCAACCAAACTGGTAATGTACCATTAAACATTTGGAAACACCCTTTGATCCACACTGGCGAGAATTTATTTTATCAGTATAAATTTTCACTGATACAGAACCATTATGCAGTTTCTGCATGAATGACAGAGACAGCTTATCCTTTCAATTAAGATAAGGATGCTTGTGGACCAAGACAGAAATGATACTACTTATACATATGTTACATGAGAACACATGAGGAATCAAACAGGGAATGTTACTGGAGCCAATGTTTTGCTAAGAGGACTAGACGAAAACAAGTCCTGTTGTCAAAAGGTTGACTCCAGTGTTATTGTCAGTTTAATGATTTTTCATCATTCCAAGCCTGCACCTTCCGCTGAGCTCTAAATATGCCACTGGAATTCATTACAATAGCTTACACATTGCTATGTGAAGCTTGACACTGCTTTTGAGCCTTACAACATGAATTCAGATATCCACATCTTTAGGGATAGAGGCAGTCCCTGCATACATGGCACTGAAGCTGGCACTCTGAGCTCAAACAGGTTCTATTACAAGTAAAAATTTGCCAAAGAAAGCCAATACCCAAGACCATGCTGTCCAAGCAGCAACTAGTACAGTCTTGCACTTTATTGACCTCATTATCATTCCTTTTCTCTCTATATATAAATAATTATGAAGTGACATCACTATTGAATACAAGACCAGGAAAACTTGCAGTTGAAATGGAACAGAAAACACCATTATTTATTGCCATTGAAACTAAGCAAACTATGCCCTTCACATGAAGCATGAAACTTGCACAAAGAGGTAGCAATAAATGCGCAAGTAGGTAGCTGAGAAGAAAGCAAGAGGAGAAAGAAGGAAACAGAAAAAGGAGTGTACCAGCCACTCATGAATAAATTCATGCAACCCCTTTTTGTAGGAGGATGCATCAGGTGTGCATGCATCTCTCTTTTTCTCACACGTTCGCACACACACTCACACCTGAACATGCAAGTAACCACTTATTGCCAAACTTGAGTGATCCAGTTCAGGCCGAAGCCACAAAACTATGAATATCTTACATAAAAACATACAGCCTAATAAGTTCTTCTGTTAGGCTTCAAATACAGTTAATTCTAAAAAAAGAAAAAAAAAAGATCCTCCTTGATTGATTATTTTCATTTCCATTATATATTATGGTGTAAACATCCCAAAGCTGTAGTGGGGGTGGCAGTCCCACATGCCAGACAGATGCAGCCCAATATATGGGCATGCAAAAGCTGAATACATTTAAGGTGGCAGTTCCACTCCCTCCTTCTCACAATAGTTCGAAAGAAGACACCCGACGACGCCACTCATCCACACTAGCAAAAAGAGAGAAAATTGCTCGCACAAGTACGGTCAGCGTCGCCTCGCGCGTGTCTTGTATGTCGTGCAAGGCAGCGGAAATAGGCTGATGAAAACCAAGGAGCACAAACGCAGACGGCATCTTTCACCTACAATCCGCCAACTGTGGCCATCGTTTCAACGACACAATCAAAGGTGCCCCAGTGACCGCTGGCAGACTAAAATCAGCGTCGCTTCACTAAAGTGAAAACACACGCACGTATGCACGCACATACACAAACACACTCTTTCTCTGTCTCTCTGACTCACTCACTTTCATGGAATAACGATTGAACATGACATCAACCAAACGCTTTGAAGCATTTGAGTGCACTGGCATTGCCGTTAACCTTCTTTTTGATGTAGCGACCTTGGCACAGGCTTGATGTAGCGTCGCGCGAGCGCATCTTTTTTTTTTTTTCTTGCCACGCGAAACTGCTCAACCTTAGGCAATGTAGCTTACGGTACAAAAACAGACAGAAACATTTCAGCACAAAATAACGTGAGGATCCTGAGGTTATTTGTTAAATTTTACCCTCTCCAACTACAATAAAAGGGTCACCTAAATAAAGTGCCTGTTGTTGATGATTAGTTGAACAGATGATTTACACCAATATAGAGAAGTTAGAAGCTCCTAGAGCCCATGGTTTTTTTTTCAACTTTTTTATGAGAATTACGTGGACCACCTAGTATGAGATGACGTGGGATATTCCATAAGTTGGTTGATGCTGTTTCCCGTCTTGCTTTCACCATCTTTGTTCTACTGCCTAAATCATGGTAAACTAAGCTCCCACGAAGCGTTTGCTTTAGGAAATTCTTCATTTTCGCCAAGAGCAGATTTCCAAATACGACGTAATCACACGAACACACAGATTATCGAGTAGCAGCACAATCAAGCTCAGCGTCACACTTAGTGGGAGGGCGGGAGAATGGGGTTACGTATATTTGAAAATCATAAGGGATTATGACGGCACCCACATAAGAGCCACACCTCTGAGCCCACGTTCATGTGTTCTACGAATGTCTTTTCCTATGCTACGTTTTCTACATCAAAAGCAACGCTGTGAAGGCTAGCGAGAATCTTTGCAATGAATGCATTCGCACTAAGAAATAGTACGATTATTTTTGCATCTGAGACATGATTTATTTTTTTCTTTCTGCATTGTGCGTCAGAGATAAAAACGCCCCGTTATACGACTTGTCTTGATTTCTATTTCTTGATGTTTTACTTGTAGCCTTTCACGACGCTCTGCAGGCGCGTTTGCGCTCATCTCGCACGAGCGTTTAAAACAATAAAACGCTAAGCGCGAGACGCGCGAAGTCACACATGTTTCTGGCCGAACTTCTTGCATAGCTTTCACAGAGTTGCACATGATGTATGAAATGGAGGATAGGTACATCTGTCAGCATAGGCGTTCACACGAGGGGGACAAGGGGGGGTGCACCCCCCCTTGTCCCCAAATAGTCTGTGCGCGAAGTCTGTCCCGTACTATAGTGCCTAGAATGTGCACCCAATACAATGCATTGATGGAGAGGGGGGCACTGCTGTTAACCATTGACTCCCCTTCGAAGGGGAACCCTCCGCATGTGTATGTCCGCCAGACGACGCCAGCGATGCTAAGATGGTCAATGAGGGTTAGCACCCTCTGCTCACTTAAGGGTGCTTATAAAATAAGATATAT